GTCATCGCGAGAAAACACGCTGTGACGGGGTACAGTAGTCCGGAGGAAAAAAAAACGGGTGAGCTCTCGCCGATCTCATTCATTTAGGACAACAAGGAATTTGTTCAGCTATGGGGCTGTGGAGGAGAAAGGTTGGAGGGGGGGAGAAAAGGACGGCGGGCGGGGTGGTTTTCGTTTAGTTGGACAAAAATCAGTTTTGAATGCCCATACAAGATTGAACAGTCATGCCCCACAGGCGTTTGTGCGCTGAACATACTACGATGGACCACATACATACATGTGTTCGCGACAATGCGGATCGTAGTTCGTTCAATTTTTTGTACGGAGTGCATCCAACAAGCGACGGTGTTGGAGAAGCAGAGGGAAACCTCGACCCACAAAGAGTTGAAAATCCTCCCCGAGATCGCAACGACCACCATCCGGCCCCAAGATTGGGGCACTGTCTGATAAAAGTCCTCTTTCGGAAAGCTTCACAGGAACCCGTCCTTCGGATTTAGGGATCTTAGACGACAAGCGTCCGGAACTTTGCATAAGGCCATGCACCACACACCCTTCTGTGACGGGCTGATGATGGCAGCGCATCCATCCGTGAACCAACATGGGTTGTCGCGCTTTATGTCTAACTTATCAATTTCACCAGGAACAAATGAGGCACTATAACCATCTCCAGATCCTAGCATCCAAGCCCCCAGCGACATTGACTTGACAGCAAAAAAATCAATATTAGTTAATGGTGGCAAATTCGACTTGATGGATTATGTTGTGGCAGAATTACGGTGAATATTGTGCGGAGTAACATGCTTCGGAATCCTCATTTCCCCGGCCGAGTGAATATTTGTGTGCGCGATGGATTTGTGTCAATCTTCATGATTTCCTTTGCGTCGTCTGAAGCGGTACATACAGTTTCACGACATGGCGTATGCGTATTAGTGATGGAAAGGGTTGAGCGCATATGTTCTCACTCGCATTGGTCATATCTCTCACACTTTTTTACTGCTCTTCGTATGAGCCTACCTACTCATCATTTTCACTTGACTTGTATGAGTTGTACCCACGCACTTTCACTCCAACTCGTGTGAGTCTTGTCACCTGTTTAGTACTACATGCTCCATCACCCACATAGCCTTATTTGTGTTTACGATGTGATATTTTGGTAAATGCGGGGTTTGAGCGAATGTGCGTTCCCTCCCCACCTCCTCTTATGGGTGATATTGGTCACATGTTTTCACTCCTCTTCGCTTGAGACTCGTTTTCACTATATTTCGTGAAAGCTACGACTCACATATTTTTACGTCCGTTCGTGCAAATCTTGTCACCTACTCATTCGCGTTTGTACATACATGCTTCATCATTCAAACTGTCCCGCTCTACTTTCGTAGGCGAGGCGTTTGCCAAGGTGGTTTCAGTCACCTTCGTATGATAATCAGACATTCACTCAAGTTCGTGGAAACAACAACACGGACATGTTACTCCGCGATGCCGAGTGCAGTCACGCAGCAACTGGGATTGAATGAAGGGTACTAGAGGTCGAAGTCATTGATCCGGCCATGAGGTTATTGCGGGGTGGAAGGGTACTATTGGGGGAAGGATGGGTAAGGGGTGCGTTTAGGCGGAACCGGACGATGAGTGCCGCCAAACCGGTGGATTGGAACAAATGTTTCTTGGGGGTGCGGATGGAAGAAGGCTTTGAAATTGGGGGGGGGGGGGAAGCTGCCAACATATTGGTGGCGTGTGCAGCCAAACCAAGGTGGGTTGAAATGGATTCGCTTCGAGTCGGGAGAATGCAATCGTTGAAGCCAGGAACTCGGATGGAGGCGAAATGGCGGTATTGGGAGGAACGCGGGTAGTGGCTGGATTTGGCGATGAGCAAAGTCCAGTGTAGACTCAAAGAAACTTGGAGACTCGGAAAGTTCAAGGTGTGGGAAGCTAGGGATTCGTGTAGCCAGGAGCTGGGATAAGGGCGGCCGTATTCATTCGTGTGTGATTGCGTGTGGAACGAATACCCAACCAGATGTTTTGTCTCGCTCAGCGACATATATTCTCCTACCGGCACGACTTGCTTGTCGCACTGAAGTGACTCCACCCGGTAGCTGTGGCGGTTCAGTGTGCGAACTTTGCGGTTGTTAGAGGTGTGGGTCCGAATCTGGGCCCAGAGCGAAACATCTTGAGGTTTCTCATTGTCATAGTCGAAAAATCTTCACAACATATCACCTTACGCCGGAGAAGAGTGTTTCGACACAGACTGCATTGGAGATCTGACTTCCAATAATGGGCGAAACATCTTTGCATATTGTTGCGCAAGCATGCCCCCAACAGTGACGCGTTACGACACGAACTGTCGCTCACCTCGTCGTGACCGGTGTTTGCATGGCCGGTGGACGTGCCTTTTCTTTATGTCCTTCATACCCATAACAAACAAAACGTCGCTCGCAGTACAATCGTCTATTCAATCCCCCGTTATCCATCTGGTCTTACTCTTCTCCATGTAGAGCTTCGGGGCAGACAAATTCAGGGATAACCGCCCCCAACTGGTGCCCTCACACAGGTGTGTGAAGTGTACATGTAGCTGCCTACTCTACTTGGTTTCGTCGACACTGCGCCAATAATTGTTGTTTCATTTGCCCATACATATTCTATGTTCCGTTTTGGCCCATTGTTGGGACGTAAATCACGCACGCGTCACCTCTCGTGATTGACCGCAGCAGTATAAACTGCATACATTGCATCATCGTTCCGCAACAACAACGAGGAGAGTTCAGAATCTTGCGCCAAACTGGAGTAGAAATTACGTCCATACAGCATTAGTCTAGTCTAGAACCAAACGTCGCACGGGGTGTTGTTCAGGTGGGTTTGCTTTCGATCAGCAAGAGGCATTTCCCAGGATCTTGTTGTAGTGACTACTGTAGTGACTTGGGCCAAGACTTGCAGGAGACTGGCAAACGGCGGGTTCGTACCCGTCGGGTTTTTGGTGGGCAGGTGATCTTTCGCGGCAGGTAATCGCGATTCCTCCGCACTTTCTCAGAGAAAGTAGTGTTGAAGTACATGTCGCGCGTAGCGAACGGAACAACTCCAGCTAGATTACTACGGTACCGATGTTGCCCCAACCACGACGCATGCAAACGAGTTCTACTCGCCGATATGCATCGCTAGTAAAAGCTGGCAGCAGCATGTGCGAGAGCTTCAACTTTTATGCGAAAAAGTTCGGGTCGGTTTGACGTTTGTGGCGAGTGGCAGTGAAGAGCGGGAAAACACCTCACATCTCTCCGAACCCGCCGTGCGCCAGGAGATTACCCGTAAAGCAGACGTGATCGGACACGGAAGTTTAGCTCTTCCCGGGGTCAATACCCAGACTAATGCCATATATGAAGCTGCCTTTTAGTCGGTATAAGCACCTCGCCGTAGAGAAATCGACCTCTCATACCACAAGTATGCTACAAAACTTCTACCACCATAAATTACGATGCGGGACCTAGGGCCCTACGTGGCCCAGGATTTTTTCAAGATGATCCCTCCCCGCCCACGAAATCTACAGCAATGGACAATCATCCCCCACGGGCTGCGTCTTTGCACTCGATATCGTTTTGGAGTACGTTCACCGTCACCTTCCTTCCTTCGAACTCTATCGTCCTTGTGGCCGTTTTCACAGAAACATCTCGACAATTCGCCTCTAACCCTGCCTCGTTTGCGGTGGGGAAGGTTATCTGTCTCGAAGCTCTTGCTCTCTTCCACGCCATCTTTCCCTCCTCCACTGCTGCGTTGGTCTCTGTCTTGTCCTCCTCCCGTCCCATTTCCTCCCCCTCCATCGCTGTCAAGTGTGTGTATTTTTGTGGGTGTCCCGCCACGCATGCTGTCGTACACCTTCACGGCGGCGTTGTGTGTTTAGTTCAGTGCCCCTCCTGGCGGCTTATATCAGCTAACGCGTGCGTGTGGTTGGGAGCGTAACGAAACTTTGTTCCACCTTCGTGATTAGGGTTAGGTTATTATAACGAGGTCTCTTCACAATAGACCGTGTGTCACGACCTAATGTCGGTGGATCACAACGAAACCGATTAGGCAAGAGTGCATTTTACGTGGGGTTTAGGTGGAGCAAGAGGGCTTGTTGTACATAGGCGTGCAGGGTCAACTGGGTTGTAGCCCCTGCATCGCGGTGGAAGATATCGCCTGCGCAAAGTCACCTGCATTCACCTCTCTCCGTCGTGCTAAGCCCTACGAGCGGCTCCCGGTATCCAGCAAGCTCACCAGACACACGTGGCGCGTCCCCTTCTTTCCGTTCGCAGCCCCAGACCTGAGGAACGTGGAGCGCAAACACACCCTTGTGTTTGAAGACGACTCAAGCGATGGCAACGACCTCAGCGAAGGTGGACCGAATGTCGGGAAGGAGCCTCACTCGGGGGAGGAGGAGGAGGAGAAGGAGGAGGAGTGGGAGTCGTCGCAGGATAAGCATCGCGGCTTACCCCCGGCTACCAACCCAAAGAAGAAAGGCCGGGGTAGGCTCGCTCTTCGCGGGAAACCTCCTGCGATGGTGCCGCAACGTGTCATGGAGTTGGAGTCATCGTCTGAAGACGATGTCTTCGAGATCCAGCCGGTTCGCAGGGAGTGGTCTACGCGACGCGCAGTTCGTGAGTCGTCGGTGGAGTCGGTGGAGGTAGTGGAGGCGCCAATCGCAGCGAAGAAGAGTCAACGAAAGCAGGGCGGGAAGAACAAAACCGCTACGGCAAGGCCGGGCGCCCCGGTGAAAAAACCGCGGGGGAAGTCAACGAACAAAGTCAACGACTCTTCGCACGACTCTTCGCGGAAGGCGTCCGCCACGGCCCCCAAAAAACGGGGGGCGGCGGCTGGGAATAATCCGGCCGCCACGGGTGCGAATGCGGGCGGGAAACCCCAGAAGAAGAAACGCACCAAACTTCCTCGAGCGAAAGAGTCATAAGCAGAAAAAGAGGCGAGGGAGAGGGCGACGGAGGAACTGGAGGCAAAAAAGGCCCGCAAGTGGAGCACTTTTTATGAAGCGCGGGGAGTCGTGGAGCAAGGCCAGGCCGAACGGGTGGACAAGAGGAAACAAAACGACCGCTCCCTGCAGGTGATCAAAAATATAGCAGCACGAGTGTCATGGGACTATGACAGCGTTTCTCTTCCAACTTGTCCGCCTCCGCATCGCTACACACCTCGTCCTGCACCGTTTACTTTTTCCTCCCGCCTGCCTAACCCATGGCCCATCCCAAAGCATCTGTCAAAACCATTCACACCGCCTGTCTATCCGGGTCGCAGTAGATGTAAGACCATCACTGCGCCCTTATGACGTTACTACGAAAGGATGTGGACGTCCGTCTGTTTCGAATGTGCGTAGTTTCATGTCGCCCCTACCTTCAAACATGCTGCACCAGGGCGCTGTCAGCGAAAGCAAGAACTCGGAGTCGTCCAAAGCTGGAGAGCCCGGGAATGCGTCAGCGGGCAGGGCCGCAGACGGCCACCCCTTTGAGCGTGAGGAGGAACACCTCCGGGACAGCCGTGGGCCACAGAGAGTACATGAGGGAAACCACTACGCCAGTGCTCGCCCTCCGTCAGAGTGGTACGGAGGTTCGTCAGCACACCGACCGAGGTCTCGCAGCCGAGACCAAGACCTTCGCCGGGGACGAAGCTCAAGCAGAGGCCGTAACCGCAGCCGGTCGAGGCACGAAGGCGGTAGTGGCTGGGGCGGTGACATGCGCAACCTACGATCGCGCTCTCGATCGAAGCAGAGGAACTACCCCGGTGGTGGTCACGTCTACGGCTCTAGGCGCGGTTCAAGGAGCCGCGAACGGTCTCGGTACTCACCGTCAGGTTCACGAACGTATCCTAGCCTAGAACAGCCAAGCCGCCGGGATTCTCGTCAGCGCTCGCCCCGACCGGGCTACTACGGTCATCACGGGGCCTACTCACACCAGCACTACGACAGTCGCGAGCGCCTACGTACCCTTCGCTCCTCCGAAAGCCGCGCGCGGCACGAGCGGTACCGTGCGGAGCGCTCGTGGAGCCGCGAGCGTCGCCATGGGAGATATGGTTCCCGAGACAACCACCCGCCGCACGGGAGTAACCACCCAGACGGCGACGGTGGCGCGACATGGTACCCGTCACACTCATCTGCCGCACAGCGCCGCCAGTGTAGTCCTAATCGGACACATGGCGGCTCCGATTCCGCCCGCGAGGGCACTGGCACCTGCGATCCAAGCCGCACCGGAAGTCGGCAACAGGGAACAACAGGAGGCTCTGTGGCGGGTCCCAACGCCGACGGCTACGAAGGTGGTGAGAGCACAGGTTACCGTCGTGGAATTATTTCATGCGCGGTGGGGGTTCCTCGTTCTTTTTTGGCATAGTAGCTTCGAAGCATGGTCGTCCCGTCCCGACCGTGTGTAGCGTGGACCGAGCATGCCCCATACTCTTCGTCCACAGTCCTCCCGCATGTCGTCTGTACTTCGTACCTTATGCTTCTAAAGCAAGCGGTGTACGTAACCCTCATATACACACGCCCTTCCCGAACATTCGCATCAACGAACGATGCTGTCGGCAGATGAACCTGTGGCGAGGCTGGCATCGGCGCATGTGAAGTTCGTGCACAACAGGACCCAGACCGTAGGAGGTTTGCGAGAGTTGGTGGACGCGGCGCTCGAGATGGCAAGCTCTCGACATGGCAAGGCATTGCGCTTCCCTACGAGCATTTACAGGATGCTAGGGGTGTCCACCACGAACATGGGCAGGTACTTGTACCGATCTGTTTCCCGGGTGACGTAATTCTAGTTCCGGCAACACATGGGCACACTATTTTAACGTTCTGCGCGAGAGGCTACGTCCTCGAAACCACGACACGTTTGCCTTTTCTTTCTTACGCCCTGCTGCCGTATCCTTGGTCCCTCCCCTTCGCAAACGTTCCCGACGTATGGCATGATCGCGACATGCTTTGGTCCTTCCCCACCCTACATATACAGGTGGAAGGAGGAGCTCGAAAGATTCGCGGGTTACGACGACTCGTATACGTTGGAGAATGCCAGGAGTGGGAAGGGAGGCAACGACGTCAACCAGAAAAATTCCAAAAAATAGGAGAGGGTAACGAATCCTTCCCGCGTGAGGTCTGGGTAGACGAAGTGTTACGTGGTAGGCTTGTCTCTGCATTTGGTCCGTGCAAGTCTTGCTTCCTCGAGACGGATGTTGTCGGGAGCGTGCACACCGGGGATGTGTGTTGGCTTCGTGGCGACCGATGGTGCTTAGCGTCGTGTTCGTAGGGCTTGTCGCTCTATGATAGTTCTGTACGTTGTGCGGGATAGTTTTCCATCTCGAGCCAAGTCTGTGCATTCGCATACGGAGTGCATGCCTTGATGGTTGTCGTGTACACGGCCGGCCTATTACAGGTCCAAAACCGTCCGACTCCACTTGAGTTCGGTATGCTACGGCTATGTAAGTTGTGGAATAGGTGACCTCGGCGCCGCAACACACCGTCTTCGGCCGAGACCGCGGAAGACGGCAGCGTTCCTAAACCACGGTGACTTTGCCACCCGCGATGCTGAGATCGTGTTCCTTGCCGTTTCGTTTGTTGCCTTTCCACTGACGTTTCGTTTGGGTCAACACCCTCTATATTTGTTTGTTTTCGTGTTTGCATGGGTGTCTGTGGGGGGGGGGCAGAGGGGGGCTGGTACCAGTGCCTGTAGCCGGATCGGGGGACGGATCCTTGTCGTTTATTTCGTATAGTCCTTGGGGATGCGTTCCTGCATGGTGGATTGTTGGCAGCACGTTTTATTTGTGTTCGACTTGTATTTCGCTGTTGTAGCGGCGGTAGTTTATGGTGTGTGTTCTTGGTGGTTTTGTGGGGACCCCGGGTCGCGTGCGCCAAGTAGCATGCGTAATGGACCATGGACGTTGGTATGTCTGTACCAGTAACGGGTGTGGCCTTCGGATCCCCCTTCCCGACTGCTCGTTCTCGGATGCCCTTCAACTGGGAGTTTGAGCGTCACAGTAGTACAATCTTGTTGTCGGTTGGCGTAGTACTGATGTACCAATCTATGGCCGATCCCCAGCACTTCGCATGTAGCATTGAGACCGTTAGGTTTGTTTGGGGGTTTCCTATGGTTTTCGTTGAAAGGGAGGTTGAGTTTTTTTCAGCTTTCTGTTCCTTTTCCCGGGTGAGTCGTGATGGTGAGAGATGGGCAACCGTGCAAAGTGAAGGGGCTGTTGGTGGTGTCATTACACGACACCGATGTCCCTATTATGCCCTGGTCATGCATGTGGATGAATGCATGTGGTGGGGGTTTCACCCGGCAAGGGTTTCCCCTCTAGTAATGATATACACGACCGTGTACGAACAGTCCCAACGAACTGGCTGGCGTACCTTTCGTCTATTCGGCGGACTTCATTCGCTCAAAACACGTTGTTGCTGCAACGGCCTGGTGTTTGTCGTACATGGACGAAAACGTTTAACAAAGAAATGCAGCAAGTGCCCCCGCGCACGAGTCCCAATATCTGCGTTGGGTCTAGTCACCATGTACTTCTTGTTATTTCTTTGATCAGTCAGTTTTCGTTCGCATAGCCAACGGTCGGGTCTCAGGCATAAGCCGATCTCAGCCCAAGCAGCAAGCCTTGTCGTGGCCCAACAGCTACCGCTTGCTGTGGCGCGTTAATCGGGGTCTGCGCGCTGCTCACCACGTGGTGGTGATGGACATCGTGGCGGAGCCAAGACCGCGTCGTCGTCGAAGGTCATTTTATTTCGTCGTGGTCGTCAACCTCCACACCAATTGTCCACCTCTGCAGCGACTGCCTCCAAATTAATTGGCTGTAGGGATCGCTTCTCCGAGTCGGGGGTGTCCCGGGCGTGAAAACGAGCATCTCGGGAGAGGCTAGCCGCTGCTAAATACATAGGCACGCTAGATTGTTTGCGCACTACTATGATCATGTCAACCTCTGCGGCATCGTGCTTACAGCAACGGTGAACCTCTCCAAACACCCTTAGTGGAACGCACCCAGCACTGCCCACTGACTGCAGTGCGCGCTTCTACTTACAACAGGACACACACCTACGGAGAATTTCGTCGATATGCCGACCACCCCCCTCCTGGAGTCCGGGCCACGCTCGGGGTGAATTTTTCTTCAGAAGGGCAGAGCCGGGTTCCAAGCGCACGTCTCAACTAACCGCAGTGTGACGGACATGTGGGCGCATTTTCCCGGAATCGCATACGAGCATGCTTCCGGGAAATCGATGACAACAAACCCGATGCTGTTGGCCTTCAACTCGGCGGCCAACCGTCGGAGGTCTGAAACGGCCCCGCCGTACTGCATCGCCGGAGGTTTGCGTACGTCTAGTTTGAAGAGCCGTACTACTCGGTCCATGTCATGGGCGCAAACTACTATTGCTCGTTTCGCAGGGCCGCGGTCTCCCCGGTTCACAGACCGCATGGCACCGGCTGCAGGAAGGAATAAGGGCTTCTCGTTAACCTCGAGGGCGTCCACGTGAATGTGGGTGACACTACCGCGCCTCGTGGCGAATGCCGTCACCTCGCTTCCCGCCCACAAAACCTCTCCTATCGACACCGGCTTAGTGAGTTCGCCTCCCGTATTGTCAGTGCCGGCTGTGTCAGCTGTGTCAGGGTAGCACAAGGCTCCCATTCTGGTCTTGCGCACGATACCTGTTGCGGCGGCGCATTCTATCGTCTGATACGAACAAGCGTCCACCCTCTGGTTCTCCTGCACAACAGGCACCGTACACAAACACACGTGGATGGGGCGGGCCGTTCACGATACCATTAGCCCCACCGCGAGCCTGCGCCAAGTGTGTTGTCTTACTTTTCAAACGGTTCCCCAACTTGCAATTGACCGTTTGTCCCTACCCTATCCCTAACCCACTACAGATACAGCTACAGCTACACTGACTAAACCTTGGCGTTCAAGACTCACTCACCTCGAAGTTTTGAATCGTCCATGTCGTCTTGCCACCGAATGCATCTCTTAGCATGTTGTCCCCCACGTTCCCTTCGACCCAGCAGTCGACGAACTCCTCCGACAAGCTAAACATGGACGTGCCGCGCCTCACTCCAAGGTTCCTCAGCTTCGAGATGTGCATCCCAACAGCTGCTTTACAAACAGCCCCCATTACAGACCGCGTGATATCTCCCTCAATAAGCACCGGAAAACCGGCCGTTAAGCATGCCCGGAACACGCGGTCGCTATGCCTTCGCCTCGCCTCGCCCTTGCTCCAGAAGGAGTCGCCATCGTCCTCTCTCCTACGAACATTGTAGGGGGGGGCGTTGTCTCTTGAAAGGAATCCGTAAAAGAGACCATTGTCGAGACACCCAAACCCGTCACCGAGGCTATCCGTGCCATCTTTAAGTTCTCCCTTGTGCCACATGTCGACCAGAATGTCGCAAGTTTCCTTCGCCAGGGCTTGGCCATGTTGGCAGCGGAGGATGCGCGCCCTGACATTGTCGCGCCTCTCCTCGTTCGCTTCTTCCTCTGGACCCCGGGGCTGGGAACGATGTGCAGACGCAGGACGTGTGGGGGTCCGGCGTATGGGTCTGCGCGTCAGATGCTCGCCGCCCGAAATCGAAACAACAATGCTGATAGGAAGAACAAAACAGGGCAGCCGTGGGGCTGTTCTGCCGTTGATAGACCGGGTGGAGTACCGGCTACGCACCTACGACATACGCTGCCTGCTGTTCTACACCCGAACGGTGTCACGAGGTGTGCATGTTTGCGCGACGCGAATTTAGTTCGAGCCCGGCGCGCGATTTGAGACGTGTTACGACCTCACGTTTGGCCGAGATACCATCATCCAACCTGGTTTGGCGTTGCCGGGACAGGCATCCTCCGTCCATTTAATGACCAAGCCCCCCCGGCTCGTGCCAGGAGGACGAAGACTGGGTAGTCTGGACCTCAACCCTTCATCGAGATTTGTTTCTTGTTGCCTGAGTCCCCTTCATCCTCCAGCGCGAACGTGTGTGCCTAGTTAACTCTGGCCTACGGAGGTCCACTTCAGTATTTTCTGATCTAACCTTCTGACTGTCACATGGTGTCGTGCGAAGCGATTCTGTCCCCTTACGCCTATCAGCTCCAGGCTCCTGTTCGTACTCGCGTCGTTGGTCTGTAGACTCTGCGTCGTCAAAACAACGGGCGTCGAGTGGTTGGGTCAGGGCGTTCCCCGAATTTTTCGTGGGATTTTTAATCACGCGTAAATATATTTTAGGACAAAGCAAAGCACGCGTGAGGTTGACCAAGCATACCACGGGGGGGGGGGGGGGGGGGGGGGGGG